GCGGGGAGTCTGCTTCTCCCTCTGACCCTCTCCCCTCTCATGTGCTTGCTCTCTCTCATTCTCTCTCTCAAATAAATAAATAAAATCTTAAAAAAAAAAATCTCAATACAGTAGAAAGGACATTAATTTAGTGCCAGGAGCCCTTATCTGAGGGCAAGACCTGGCTATGTGATTGTAGGTATTGAAATGACCTAAGCCTTACTTCTCTGTAAAATAGGGAGAATGCAGTTACTTCACAGGGCCATGAATTGATAATCGATATAAAAAAATGTTTCATAACATTTCATAAAGGAAGCATTGTCTAAACATAGGAAATCAATTTTCAGTTCTTAGTAGCGATATTTATTTGAATGAAAGTCTAATAGGGTTCCATTTTACAAATTCTTTATGGATTGTAACAGTTGTAAAACTTGGCATATATTAAGAATCAAAAATAGTGGGAATGAATCACCACAACTGTAAAAGTGTACATTCACAGAAATGGCTGATATAGCCTAGTTAGGGACCCTGTATCCTGCAAACAAGTAGAAATCCAGTATCTCCAAAAGAAATAAGGGGATTAAAAACCAGCGGCGGCGGTGGTGGGGAGAGACAAATTCCAGTGTGAGGCTACTCAGGAGTTCAAAAGACGGGACCAGACTTCTGATCTAAAGACATTTTGGACTACCTGTCTGGGTCTCTGGACGAGTCAACATCTGCTCAGGGAAGACAATGACACATTAGTTTTAACAGACAAATGCAAAGGAGAAAACCAGGAACCATAATAGAGAAATCACTATGATGGAACACTCTAATGGTCCAAGAAAGAGGAAGAAAACGCAATTGGTGTTTAATGTTCTATTCTATAAAAAGTCCTAGCTCCTCATGTATGAATTTTTTCCTCAGGCTTGTAGTCACTGACGGTAACTCCTCTATTCTCATTTCTTTTTATTTATTTTTTATTGAGATAGGATTGATTCTATTTTCAAGGGACAAAATGATATTTCACCTTGAATCTAGGACATAAGGAAAATACAGTGGCTCTGAGAAAGTTAAATGTTAAAAGCAAACATCAGAGGGAAGATTAACAAAATCATCATATAGAAATGGGAAAGTTCCCAAGTCTGCAGAACTCAGTAACCAGAGAGCATGTGTTTACAAAGTGAAAAAATGAGTCAGGCAGTCAGGCAGAGAAGGGGTGGGCAGATGCTAAAGATTAGAAAAAGCAGTCTCTAGGCAAAAGTGGGTCCGGGGAGATGGAGCCCTGGCCCACAGAGCATTCTAGTCTATGGCAAAATTGTCACCGAGATGGATGCACGAAGTCTTACGAACCCAGTTTCATGTAGTATCCAGTTTAAATGTTGGTGGTTTTAAGAGTTTGCCATGGGTCAGCTTCGTTTCTGATCTTGCATTCTTTCCAATTTTAGTACATGTGCTGCCAAAGGGAGCACTCTAATCTTACATTCTTTTCCAACGTGTTCTCACTTTGTCAAGAGAGGCAAGAAGAGAGGGACAGGTATGCAAGCCTTCAAGGCTGAAAGGCAGATCCAGGGCGGAGACCAGCTTGCCAGGTTTCCTCTGGAGTACATCCTCCCCTGCGTCCCTGAACACACACATGCCCTAGGCCTGTGAATCCACTTTTCCACAATTTGCAAAGAAAAATCCAAAGGAGGCTATCTGGTTAGTCAGAATCAAGTGTTAAGATCAGTTATCATTTCCATCAAATTTTTCTCGGTCTTGGAATAAATGCTCACATTTAAGGGGATTTTCTTCAGTGAGGTCTGACGCAAGCCACTCACCTTCCTATATATGGACGCCATGACGGTTGTCCGTACGGAGACACCCAGCTTGAAGCACATTTGAAAGTAGCACTGAAGGCAAAGAGACTGGATGAGGGCCACAACAAAGAAGAGGACTGAATAGAGATATGCGATCCACACATGTGTGTCTCGGTCATTTGTGAAGGAGATCAGCAATCTGCCAAAACAAAACCAAGTCATTGCTGCCCATCAGGTCTCCAAGGACTCTTCACACTCTTCATGCACAGCCCGCTACCCTACCCCTGCCCTGTAGTTAACAAAAGGGACCAGAATTGTCCAAAGCTGTTGGAAGACCTGAACTCCACAGTTGTGTCAGTGCTCTTGCTTTTGCTTACAGGGCTAGCAGCAAGCAGCAAAAGGTTCGAGTTGATGACCCATGGCTGTGAGCAGGATAATGAATGAAATGCTCCTCACACATGCTGCTGCAAGGCTTTGGCCCTGCCTTCCCCCGCCCCCTGGTAAAAGAAGTTGTGTGGGAGAAGTGGATATGTTCTTGGACAAATCAAGCCTGAAAAGTAATTAAGACATGTATTCAATGCAAGTTAGAACTTCCCATAGAGGAGAATTCATCCCAGAGATTCCACAGACTGTGAAGTCTTGTTATGATTAAGCTGAACCTCCCACCGAAGGCTGCGGCTGTAGAGATGGGGTTACAGACACCAGGTACAAGGCTCTCTTGCGTTGTGCTGCCCGCCTCTTGGGCATGGCTCCTCCCTTATCAGTTCTGTTTAACAAGAGCTCCTAACAAGTATCTGGCTTCCTGGGAGGGAAGGGATGTAGAAACGAGGGAAGACCTAGCATTTTAGATCCTGAAAATTGCCTTGTGCTTTTCATGAACACACGATAAGGTGGAAGAATATTATCAGCATTTTAAACAATGGGAATTTAATAATAAGCTCCTGCCTGCATATCCAAGGGGCCAGCAAGGAGGAGAGTGGCAGAGGAGGCCCTGAAGGGAGAGCCAAGGCCCAGGACTCACTTCAGCAGCTGAGGACTCAGAAACATGAGGAGGTCATGCACCAGCTTCAGGAGGAATGATTTCAAGAGCATGATGTAGAAAGTCTTGAAGAGAGTCTTGACCAACCAGGACTTGGGAAAGTCTTTTGTGGTCCCAGACTTCTTTTTTTTCTTTTTAACTTCTTCCTAGGTATAAAACCAAACACCAACAGTGCTTACAGAGCCATGTGGTGTAAAACTTTGTCTTGCACTGCTCGGCTCCAGAGTGTTAAGCCCCCGAGTCCTGTTGCTTTCTTTGTACAGATTTTGGTCTTCTCACTGCCTGGTCACCACCCAACCTTTCAGCTGCCATCACTGGTTCCTTTCCCCCATCCTGATACTCCTAATCTATTTTGGGTGAGAAAACCAGACAACTAAGCTGGTGAGAATACCACATAAAAACAAAACAAAACAAAACAAAGAATAGACCCTAAGTATGGGGCCTGCAGGGTAATCCCAGAGACTGAAAGGCATGGACATGAGGATACGTATTTTTGATACTCAGAGCCTTTTTGTTTGTTTCTGCTTGTGGTTGTTGTGGGATGTTATGGGTTGAATTATGTCCCCCCAAAAGATGCTGAAACCCTTACCCCCAGTACCTCAGAATGTGCCTTTATTTGGAAATATGGTCTCTGCAGATGTAATCAAGCTGAGGTCCTTAGGGTGGGCCCTAGTCCAATAGGACTGGTGTCTTTATAAGAGAAGAGCCTCAGAGCCAGAGAGAAGATGGCCAGAGATTGGAGCGATGCCTCCACAAGCCAAAGAACAGCCCAACTAGAAGGTAAGAGAAGCAAGGAAGGTTTCTGCCCTCCGGGTTTTGGAAGGAGCGTGGCCCTGCTGATACTTTGATTTGGGGCTTCTGGCTTCCTACCTGTGAAACAGCACATTTGTTTTAAGCCCTGCCGCTAGCGGTACTTTGTGAGGGCACAACTTCCACTGTCCCATCTGAGCATCCAGTACTGGGGCATTCCCGCTCCCTCACCAGCCTCTTCCTCTTCCTGTGATCTGGCCTCTTCATTACATTCTCCAGGGGCCCATCAGGCCCCCAATTCAGCTTCTCAGCCTTAGTTTCCAGATTTTTCTACCAGTGACATCCTCTTGTAACTTTGTCACTGAGACCCCATCTGATCAGTCTCTCTTGCCCGGGCAACTGCCCCAGCCTGCCCCCCAGCTTCTACTCTTGCACCCCAACCATCTGTCCTCCTGGCGGCAGCCCAAACATGCTTTTAAAAGTACAAATCTGATCCCATTACTCTTCTGTTCAAAACCTTCCACTGGCTTCCCATCCTTCATAAAATAAAACCCAGACTCCTTACCATGGTCCACAAGGGTCTACACAGCACGGTCCCTATCCACTGCCCTGAGCACCCCCTACTCAGCCTCTCTGTCCATGCCCCAGGACCTTCTTGCAGTTCTCTGAACAAACTGTGTTCCCTTAGCCTCACACCACTGCTCCCTTGGACGGGATTACACTGCCTTCTTCTTTTTTTTTTTTTTTTTTAAGATTTTATTTATTTATTTGACAGAGAGAGAGAGAGAGAGAGAGATAGTGAGAGCAGGAACACAAGCAGGGGGAGTGGGAGAGGGAAAAGCAGGCTTCCCGTGGAGCAGGGAGCCAACGCAGGGCTCGATCCCAGGACCCTGGGATCATGAGCTGAGCCGAAGGCAGACGCTTAACGACTGAGCCACCCAGGCGCCCCTACACTGCCTTCTGATGGTCCCCCAGGTGGGCTCTTCTCAGACTTTGGGTCTCTGCTCAAGTGACACCTCCTCTGAGAAGTCTCTCCTATGACCCTAAAGGCACTTCACTGCAAAGACATTAACATGTTTTATACATTCTTAATAACATGTATTACTCTTAGAGAGTAACCTGTATTGGTTTATTATTTCCCAGCTCTCTAAAGAGGACTCTTTCAGGCTATTCCTTGTACCCAGTGCCCAGAATAGTCTGACACTTGATACTTAATACTTTTGAGTGAATAAATAAGTACATTAGCTGCTAGGGCGAAAGCCCACCAAAGTGCAACTTCTGGTAATGCTAAGGTACTATTTTTCTTTTTTTTTTTTTCAGATTATTTGACAGAGAGAGAAAGAGAGGCAGAGGAAGAGGGAGAAGCAGGCTCCCCGCTGAGCAGGGAGCCCGATGCGGGGCTCGATCCCAGGACCCTGGGATCATGACCTGAGCCGAAGGCAGATGCTCAATGGACTGAGCCACCCAGGTGCCCCCTATTTTTCTATTTTTAAAGATATGGAAAATTTCAAATATACCCCAAAAGAGAGAGAATAGCACATTCTACCCAAATGTATCCATCACTAAGGTATTATTAGTATTATAGCTACTACAAATAACATAAAATGCACTGCAGTGTATACAGGGCTATCAAAATATAAGGACAGAATCACTAGGACACGGATATCCTCATGCCTGAAACCTAGAGCACATTCACACAGACACTCATGGGAATGTTACCAGGACAATGATATCTTGGCTTTGACTCTGATTCTTGTTCAAGCCATGCAGCCCATCTCCAGAGCCCCTCCAGGCCTTCCTCCGCTGCCGTCCCTGGAGCGCCTTCCTGGCCTTCTGCAGCTCTCCTACCATATGTTTTTCAAACGTGCTGACCAGTGCCTTGGTTTTAATCTCTTCATCAACATCCCAGACATCTTCAAGTGTCAGAGGTTGCTTGTAGCCTTTCATAATGATGCTGGAACCAGAGCGATCCACAGGCTGAGACCCTACAGGCTGGGTCAGGGGCAGTCCCCTTGCTGCTTCTGTCAAAACCTACCCCCCCACCCCCGCCTCAGTTCAGAGATGGAGGGACAAAGGATGGGAGGAGGCCCATTGCTCCATCTCCTGGCCCTTTACACTTGACAGAGGCATGGGGAGGGCGGAAAACGGATGGGAGAGGTGATGGAATGTGGAATAAGACGAGAAGGGCAAGAGGAGCAGTGCGACTGAATTAAAAGCCAAAAGAGCATCACGTCCTCCTGCCCCTTCCTCCTCGAACACTGGCTGCCTCTCTGCATCGGCATCTCCCTGAGGGGCCTTCACGATGCCCTTAAGGAACTGAGCAGCCCTGGAGGCCTCCTCTATGCTCTCTCTCTAGATCAGGGCCCACCAACCTGGTGTTTGAGAACATGGATACAAAATAAATTACATCTTTATTTTCACCAGCTTCTAACTGAAATCTAGCCTTTCCTTAGAACATGAATGGAGGCAACCAGACAGCTGGAAACAGGACTGCACATTCCTCTGACACCAGGGGACACCACAGTGTTTTCATGGTACATGTACACTCAGGGCTACTTTGAGATTGTGGTCATTATTAGTCCTATCGCTCCTTCACTAGATCTCATCATTTAACATGTTTGTAAAGAAGCGCTTGGGTTACATCACAAATTTGTTTTTGTTTTTTTTATTTAAGTGATTTTATTTCAATATATTTGGTTTCCTTTGTAACCTGTGTCTTTTTCTTTATGTGCTGAAATCATTATCTGAGAAGGGGTTCACAGGCAGTACCAGCTGCCAAGGGATCCATAGAACTGCAAAGGCCAAGAGAGCTTGCTGCAGATCCTTTGGTAGCCAAGGCCAGCTGGTGCATCTCTTACCCTTCGAATTGTGACACACTGCCTACCCCCAAACGTCCCTCTTCTTATCCTTCTGCCTTTTTCCTAACATCCTTCCTTTTCCCCATGGAACCCCCAGGCCACCAAGAGCAAAGCCCCCTCCACCCTCTCCTCCACATCTCAGTCTGAAATAAATAGATCTATTAAGTCAACATTCTCAGACTCCAAGTAGAGGAGAAATAGAGGCCCTGGGAAGCATTTTTAAAATTAATAATTCCATCACTTTCAGAAGAATGAGGGGGTAGGGATAGGGACAACCCACACTCCAGGCATTTCTTACCTGTCATACCAGCTAAATGTAATGCTACTCAGAAATGAGGCTGTGAATGATGGATTCTGCAAGACACACACACACACAAAATCAAAAAGTAAATCAGCTTGAAACAGGAACTTTGTGGGACTCTAAAATTGGAAACTGACTTTTTCTAGGTATGCTTTGCTAAAAAGTAGACATAAGACTGAAGTAGACTGAACGACATAGGTTTATCTGGAGACCCTAAAGTCACCAGGAAAAATAAAATTTTCTGGCATAGATAGGTGAATGAATTGTCCAGGCTGAAGATTGGCAGGTCAATGTAAAAGTATTTCCATACTCATAAAAGTATTTCTGTACGCTAGCCACTTTTGGTTTCCTTAAGCCATAAATGGTCCACACGGCTATATTCTGGGCTAGTGGGACCCCCATGAGGCCTAGGCATCTCAAAGTTACATGTGTCAAAATACCATCCAATGAGATAATACATGAGATGGGCATATTTAGAGTCTCACAGTTGATGAGGCATCTTTTTCTGAAAATGCTGAAAGGATCAGGATCAGGATCTGCAGTGCATAGCAGATGAAGAACAGGCAGGAATAGGCCAGGTTAGAATTGCTGCCCTATGGGGAGGAAAAACAACAACAAAAAACAAAGAAAATGAGCCTTTTTCCAAATTAAGTCTAAATGGCCCACACAGGTCAATGCTTGTGATTGAAGCCTATCATCAAATCCCCTAAACAAATTCTATCCCAGAGTTCAACTGACTCTATGCCATTCACTCTTAGAAGTTGATCACCACTACCTTCTCAAGTCACCCTCTCTTTCCTCCTTACCTTTAAGAGTGTCCGGATCAGAGTCTGTAATTGGAAAATGCCACAGAGTATTGAGAGAATCCAGAATAGGGACAGGAACCAAGAATCCTTCTGCATGCACCATCGCCTGCTATGTTGGATCAACAAAACCAGGAGCTGGAGAGAAATTCACAAGTTCTGAAAAATACTGTCACCAAGGATGAGAGGCAAGAAAGAGGCCAGAGAGACAGGGAAAGAATGGTGGGTTAGAGGAGGAGATTGTTAGAACTAATCTGGCCAAGCAGAAAGCACACAAATGCCAAGTTGTAGACTTCCTTCCTGATACAATCCAACCTCTTCTTTTAGGGCATCCGTGCTCTTCCTGGGAATCCCTTCCCCACCCCATCTCCCCATCACACTTGGGTGGGGAGTTAGCCAAGAAGACAGAGGGTCACATTCTGCATTTAATGGAGTTACTTTGGCAGACAGAAAAGTCTTTTCAAGACCCAAGGAAGTTAATTTCAGGTGCTGCAGTAGTCCACCTGGGAGGCAGTTTCTGCTGGACAGGTGCAACTTGTCTATGTGATTTTCTAATAATATCAAACTAAGCAATAAAAAAAAAAGCTTGCCTTGTAACATCTCACTTAAATATAATAAGTGTTCATTTCCTAGACTCAGTGCTGACTTTGTAAACTAACATTCTGAAAACAAAGCCATGATTAGTAGCATTTGTTCATTTCTGTGCTATAGATATTACTACCATGGTAGATTTCAAGCCCCAACACACTGTCACTAAACACAGCATTGGGAAGAGATGCACACACAATGGCTGACCATTGCCCTATGGGGATATAGGCCCATAGATACCAGGCATTCTGATTTTTCAAGAAAGTTTAGATAATCCAAATAGTTATGTGGCATCTTCCTCTTTTAAAATGGTAGCAACTAATTCAGTTGTTTTTATTTATTTATTTATTTTTAATTCAGTTGTTTTTAAAACACTGTGCAGGCCTCCCTAAAAACTAAGCCTGCAGGAGAGATAGCAGCTTCTGTTATCGAGTTTATACAAACAACTCTAGACTCAGGGATCCATTGATGAGTCATTAGTCAATTTAAGAATAATATTTACAGCATTTAGAAAATTCTTTTACATCAAGAAACTTGGCTTTCATGTGTGTATATGTATATTTATTTATTTATTTTTTACTTTCCAAATACTGTTTACTTCACTGAAGCCTGGAGGCAGGGAAAGGGTGTGTGAATGGGACACCAAGTCTAGGACTGCATGTTGACAACGGTGACATACAGGGCCATAGAGTGCTGTCCAGCTGCCCAGGGAACAGAGATGGACAGAGGTCTCCATGACAAAGGCCTCATAGATGCTAAGGAACATCAGTAGGAGTACTGATGGCTGAAAAGTGAGGTATGGGTGGTAGCGTGTTATCATCCAGACCTGGGCAGATGAGATGATGTAATGGACCAGACTGATGTTGGAGTCCATGCTCTTCTGGATGTCCTTCCAGTCAAACTCCATGCCCTGGGCTCCAACTCAGATGGGATGCAGTGGGACATAATGAGCGTGGCCATGGCCCAGCCTAGGGCAGTAACATGATCTTGTATTCCCCCTTGCATACATTCCAGGACATGACAAGGTTTAGGCCTAACAGGCCTGCCACATCCACGTTGACCTTCATGACACCCCAATGAAGTCAGGGATGCCACCTTCCCAGGTGGGGAAAAACAAGGCCAGGAATAGCATCTTGCACAGCTGCATGAAGAGGTAGGTGACCCTGGCCTGCACGCACTTCCAGAAGGCATTGCACTCAGGCCACAGTGCTTGTAGGTGATGAAGTAGAGGAAGTAGGCCAGGGTGAACCATTCCAGAAGTGGCACAGGGTCATGGCACTGACCTCCTGGGCCTGTCAGAGCGTGGGTCTCTGCTTCGGCTGGCCTGCCACTCACTCATGTATAATTATTAGGTGGAAAGATAGGAGGGCATAAGATACATATCTTAGGCATCAAAGTTAGTATTTACACTAGGGAGAAGGATCTATAAGTTAGTGCTCAAAAGAATATCCAAAACTAAAATTTGATTCAACCCCATTACAACCAAGTTTTGCCTCATCATAGGCCCCTCAAAAAAGGTAGATGAAATTGACTTAATTTTATTCCAAAAGAGTACATTTCAACTAGATAACTATGAATAGGAAGAGGGAAGAGGATAAACAGGGCAGGAGTGGGGGTAGGGCTTACCCATGTGCCCAGGTAAAGGCTTGGATTGGTGTATCTAATGGCAGGGACCGTGGCTTGTCCAGAGTCTTCTGTGAGTACAAGGGCCAGCTCTATGGCTGCTAGAATAAGAAGAAACCCAACAAGCACCTGAGAAGGAAAAAGACCACTGTTAAGAGGATATCATGCTTTAGAATAGAATGGTTCCTGATAACAGATGAAGTTCAATGTATGCTAAGATAGGTTTTTGAGGAATGTTGAGTGTGATGGTTTTAAACTATGTTCAGAAATTCTTTGATATTCCTCCCCTCAAAAAGTAGGTCTTCGTACCCCTCCCCTTGAGTGTGAGCATTAATTTAGTGATTCAATTCTAAAGAATAGAATATGGTAGAAGGTCATAAAAAACAAGATGCCTGCCCCATTCTCTTTCCCAGATCACTCACTTCAGGAAAAGCTATCAGTGCCATCGTGAGGACACTCCAGTAGCTCTATGGAGAGATCCACTTGGTAAGTAACTGAGACCTCTTGCCAACAGCCATGTGAGTGAGTCATCTTAGAATTAGATGCTCTACCTCCAGTCAAGCCTTCAGATGACCTTAGTCTCTGCTAGCATATCAGCTGCAAGGCCATGAGAAACCCTGAAGCAGAACCCAGGGAAGCAGCTCCCAAATTTCTGATCCATGGAAAATGTACGAAGTGTGGTTTTTTTAATTGCTAAGTTTTGGAGTAATTTGTTATACAACAATAGGTAACTAATAAAAATAGATTGAAAAAGGGAGCCCCCTTACCCCAATTGGGATTTCCAGTTTCCTTGGTCATATTCCCATTTCCTTGATTATTCCCAGCCTCTTCCCCAGACAACGTTTGAAGTTAATGTTGTAAACAATTGTGACTATGTCACCCTAGGAGGACTCCAAGCCAATCAATATTTGTCCTATGAGTTCATAAGACATGCTACACATTGTATTATTCTAAAGCATCACCTCCACCCATCAGGATAAAAAATTACTACTTCCAGTGAGGAGGTCCACCAGAATCTTAGGCCTCAAAATGAGGATCTTTAGGACCATCTCCCTTACGCCATCTCTTCAACTCCCATCCATCTATCCCTACTCATTCCCATGTCTCATTCATCCAGAATGGTTCAGGCAGAAATACTGGGCTGCCTGTAATGAAAACCAACCAGTGAGGGAGATGAATGCATCTGTAGTAGGACTAGTGTGGTTATTTAGCAAGGCATAAAGTCAAAGACATGTTGATAAAGAGAATGTGTTTCTCAAGCACACAATATACTATATTGTGCTTTCTTACATGACACTGAGGTTTTTTCTGGAAAAAAAATAACAGCTTTTGAAGTGGTAAGATATGTTTGCCTTTAGGTAAATTGGGCATAAAATAGAGCAAGGTGGAGCTAAAGCACCCAGTCAAGGAGGACTTGAGGAGAACAGGTGAAGAGACTACTAACCAGCTCCCTAGGCCAAGGAAAAAGAATAGGCCTTGCCACAGGCTTCCATATATTAAACTCTTACATATTGATTAGAAATATACTGAGCAATCCATATCAAAAAGAACAATTTACATTATAAGGAACTCCTACAAAGCATTTCAAGATGAAAACAAACAGGGCACCTGGGTGGCTCAGTCAGTTAAGCGACTGCCTTCGGCTCAGGTCATGATCCCAGGGTCCTGGGATCGAGTCCCGCATCGGGCTCCCTGCTCAGCGGGGAGTCTGCTTCTCCCTCTCCCCCTCCCCCTGCTTGTGTTCCCTCTCTCGCTGTGTCTCTCTCTGTCAAATAAATAAATAAAATCTTTAAAAAAAAAAAAGATGAAAACAAACAATCCAGTGCAAAAGGCATAGGATGGAAAATTTAAAGAAAAAAAAAAAAACATGGCTTTTAAACATAGGAACAGATGCTTAACCTGATAATTAGTGCATTTTCAAATTATAATGATATACCATTTTTCACTTAACTGCTTAGCAAATATCAAAAAGTTTGATAAAAAGTTGGTGAGACTGAGGAAAAAACTCTATGGAGGATAATTTTCACCATTTACAAAAGTTTAATATACTCTTCACCATAACTTCGTTTGTAGGAATTTATGCTTGCCGACACAGGTAAAAAAGTTGTTTACTGCAGCATTACCTATGATGACAGAAGGTTAAAACCACCTAAATTTGTTACGTAGGGCACATAAGTTATGGTACATCCAAATAACTGCATCATGAGTAGTCATTAGAAAGCAGATTTTTAGGTGCTAAAATGGAGGGATCTTCAAGACATGGACACTAACGTAGGACTCTAAATTTGTGTAAAGAAAAGTAGGCATTTTTATAAACATAGATTATCTCTGGAAGTATATACAAGGAACTAGTGTCAATGGTTGCTAATTCAGACAAGAATGAGTGACTAGAATACCATGTACCTTTTGTACATTTTGAGTTGTAATCCTGATTTATTCAAAAGATTAAAGTTAACTATAGTGGAATACTACTCAGCCATCAAAAAAAAAATAAAATCTTGCCATTTGCAATGATGTGGATGGAACTGGAGGGTATTATGCTAAGTGAAATAAGTCAGTCAGAGAAAGGCAATTATCATATGATCTCACTCATATGTGGAATTTAAGAAACAAAACAGAGGATCATATGGGAAGAGAGGAAAAAAATAAAGCCAGAGAGGGAGAAAAACCATAAGAATCTCTTAATCATAGGAAACAAACTGAGGGTTGCTGGAGGGGAGGGAGGTGGAGGGATGGGGTAACTGGATGATAGATCTTAAGGAGGGCACTTGATGTAATGAGCACTCAGTATTATATAAGATTGATGAATCACTGACCTCTACCTCTGAAACTAATAATACATTATATGTCAATTAATTGAATTTAAATTTTAAAAAAGTATATTTGAAAAAAATGTTAAATACAGTAACATGCCCATTTTAAAAAATGAGCAAGTGATGTGGACAATTCATAAATATGCTCAACCAATTAAACATCAATTGCATTAGTACTTCTAGAAATGCAAAGTGAAACAATAGGATGCCATTTTTACATATAAAAGAAAAATAGGTTAGACCCAGTGCTGGCAAGGGTGCAGAAACAAACTTTAACACACTTTTGGTGAGAATATAAATTGGCAAAAAGCTTCCTAAATTATAAATATTTTTCAATTTTTCAAAAGCCTAAACTGCTCACATTCTTTGATATAGTCATTCTACTCCTAGGAAGCCATTCTAAGGAAATACTCTGAATTTCAGGCAAATACTTATGCACTGAATGTTAACCAGAGTCTTAGTTTTAGTAGTAAAGTATTTATAAAACCTAAATAACTCAAAACAGTGGTGGAGAGGTTTGTTGGGAGGAATTAATGCTGCAAGAGTTGTTAAAATAAGTTATGGTATTCTCATGTGATGATTATGTAGCTATTAGAAGGTGGAGGAGGGTCGGTAATGTATCCTCCAGACTGAGAAGGTGCTTTCATATGGAAAAACGATGCAAGCCACTCTATACCATTTACACAGTACTATTCAGTTAACTTACCGACAGGGGTAATCAGGTAGGTGGATGGATGTACAACAAAGGGCACTATGCAGCTATTTTCCACCCCAAATTCCCCCCGCTCGTTTTCGCCAGCCACGCAGTCCTTAATCTCCAGCTTTCATAGAGCGAGGGGCATGCTGGTGAGGTCACAGGGTAGTTATCTAAAGTGGTACTACCTCTGCACCCAATGGCTCTCTACTAGTTATCTACAGTAGCCAGAGGGGAGAACAAATGGAGGGCCAAAGACAGAGTCAGTGTTGTCTACACTCCTACATTCCATCCCCAACATCTTTATGGCCCACACAATACCTGCACAGCATACTTCACTATGACCCTAGAGCCAGATTGCAGGAGATGACTTGCATTCCTAGGTCACAGCAGCAATACAAACAGCAATGCAAGATCCCCCAGGCCCGCTAAAGGGGTCCTTTCCTCAGACCCAACAGTTGAAGCGACTGTGAATTTCAACCCAAGAGGTAGCCCATGACAGGAAGCTATTTCCTGATGCAACAGGAGGGAACATCAGCAATGCTAAGCTCAAGAGACAAATGCTTTATGGGCAATAGACATGGAAAATCTTATTTCAGCAATAACCTAGTAGCTGTTTTGGCCCCATGAGCCAATACCACCCCTGCTTTTCATCATTCCTCATTCTGGAGAGATGGGGTGACAACCACCCTATCTTCTTCTTGCTGAAAATGGGTATAGATCAGAATTTGAAGAATGAAACAGCCTTGCATCCAATTAAAGATATTCCTTAGTAGTAAGTTGAACCCCCACCCTTCATAGAGCCATTATTTTGGAACTTTCATGGGTGGTTGTAGCATCTTATTCTATATTTCACATCAGGGTCGATTAGGTCAGTTCAATTAAACAGTGAATGGGGTCATTTCAGGAGGCGGTCCTGCAGGTGGGCTTTCAAAGGCAGGTCCATAGTATGCAAGCAATCTGGTAGATAAGTAGCCAGATATACAAGGAAACCAGAAGAATTCAGAATCCAGGCTAGTTTTATAGGTAAACAATAAACATTCAAGACAATCAGAACTAGAATCTAATAGCCATAAAGATACGTTACTGAAACATTTTTTTTCCTCTCTAAAAATCACCCTCAAAGGCAGCCAAGTTAAGACTAAGTTGTTTATAAACCAAGCCCAGTTTTAACTTGGCCTATTTATGTAAGTGCAGCAAGAATAGTGACTGGCCATTTAAGTTCTTTTAAATTTGGTTTGTGGGAACTTTTTTTTTCCCCAAGATTTTATTTATTCATTTGAGAGAGAGAGGAAGGAAGGGAAAGGGAAAGAGAATCTGAAGCAGACTTCTCACTGAGTGCAGAGCCCAACAGGGGGCTTGATCCAAAACGGCGAGAACATGACCTGAGCCAAAACCAAGAGTCAGACCTTTAAACTGACTGAGCCACCCAGGTGTCCCTGCTAGAACTTTTCATAAGGAATTTCAGATTGTGCCTTAAACAGCCTTTTGAGGCCAAGAGCCAAGCCAAATACTTGCTATTAACTCCCCTGCAATGCTTATAGATTTGGGTTACTTCCTCTCTTCCCCAAAATCTTGTGAACTTGCCAGGAAGTGACCTTCCTTACTTATCTGGTAAGGCT